TTTGACTAAATTTGTTAATTAATCACAAGGTCAAAACCAATAGAGAGAATGATTTTAAATAGTCTTCTTTTCAATTATTTCTTATGTTTTGTTTTTGTAAGATCTTCTGTCAGTTTTGTCTCAGGAAATAAGGCATATTGATCATGCAGACCATAGGGGAAGGTGACTTGTCTCTTTGTTGATTTTAGCAGATGTTTTTAATCTTTATCCATATAAATTACCATCAAAAATAGGATTACAAGCTATTCTGTTTCAGGGGTGACCCAATTATTATTTTTACATTTCTTGGCATTTACTACAGTTTAAGGTGCAAAATACTTTTAGGACATTCTTAGTGCTTTTTCTTTAGCACTAAAAAATCTCCACCATACTTAAGAATCCTTAATTGCTTTAATTCCTAACCTATTCTTTGGTGTTGACAAGCTCAATTGTATACCTATTTCACACTATTCTGCCTTTTTGCTTTAGTGATGTTGCTATTATACAACAAAGACATTTTGTTTTGTTAAACATTTAAGAATGTTGATCACACAGTTTGAATGCCACAGTGAAGTCCAGGCTGTCACATATGTTTTTGGGGAAAAGTAAAAAAAAACCCTGCCCTGTACAGTAAGAGCTTCATTCTCATACATGGTGTGAAACCTACATCTAGACCCCTGCTGCAGAATTAATACAACACAAAGGTAACAACAATGACTCACTGACTTTGCTTATCTCACACAATGGTTATTCAGATGCTTCATTCATCTTAACTTGTTCAAAGATTGAAACTGAAATTAAGACTGGTCTGTCTGTTATTGGGTATAAAAAAAGTAAATACCTTTAGTAAAAAGGTCCTGTCACAATGCAGATGCAGAAACTAAAGCAGATTGTCATGGTTGCTACCCTGATAGCTGACCTAATTGCTCATTTGACTTACCTGCCTAACTCTGCCCTGTTAACAATCATCACTAATCTCATCCACCTGCTCCCGCTGCTTTATATACAGCTCAGTCCCAGGTATCGGGGCCAGATCATTGACATTCAATTCAATTCAGTTTATTTATATAGCGCCGATTACCAAAACTTGTCATCTCAAGGCACTTTACAGTTCAACCAGATCATACAATCAAATTGATTCAAAGTTTTCTATCTAAGGAAAACCAGTTGATTTCATCGACTCATTGATTCGAAGGCAATCCCTCACACTAAGCCTGCTTGTAACGACAGTGGAGAGGAGGTAACACTTTCTTTTAATAGGAAGAAACCTCCAGCAGAACCAGACTCAGTGTGAGGGGTCATCTGCTGAGGCCAACTGGGCAACTGTAAACCAGCTCCACACGTGGCCTCGTCCAGGAAACACACAGCCAGTCAGACAAGCCCTGTGGCAGCTCCTATGTCAGAGGATGAAGAGAGCAATTCTAGTCAGTCATAGTCAGAGAAACAGGACTAATCTGAAGAACAGGCCTGTCTTGAACATCTATAAACAAAGGTGTTGATGGCAGCAGCAGCAAACTTAACAAACGTTGTTTGTTGAGTTTGAAGTTGAGATCATTACAGATTCCATAGTTCATGTTCTCATTCTTGGGGGCCAGAGGTTTTTAGTTATCGTAGTGTTTCTGATCATGTCCAGTCTCTTATCCAGTGAGCATGCCCTGGTCCTGTTCTTGGATCAGTGTAGGGAGTGAGTTTTAAAGTACCTTAGTTTTCCTGTCATCATGCCTTGTTCTGCCTCTCAACTACTGAGCTTGACTGTTCCCAAATGAATGTTCTGCCTGAACTCTTTATTCGACTCATGGAACTCTGAACCTGCCTGAACTCTCTGTAGATTTTAATGGTCACACGGAGCCTGGTTCTGCTGGAGGTTTCTTCCTGTTAAAAGGGAGTTTTTCCTCTCTACTGTCGCTACAAGCATGCTTAGTGTGAGGGATTGTATTTGAGTCAATGCAATCAACTGGTTTTCCTTAGATAGAAAACTTTGTATCAATTTGACTGTATGATCTGGTTGAACTGTGAAGTGCCTTGAGATGACATGTGTTGTGAATTTGGCACTATATAAATAAACTGAATTGAATTGAATTGAATTGAACTTACCTGTGCTCTCCCTAACCAGAGTGCCAGGGATGGGCGGTCCCCTAGCCTCCTCCACTGCCGCTGCAGATCCACAGCCCCAAGTCCTGATTATTTTTTAAAAAACTTTCTGAATTCGTCTTCTGGCTGTCTCGCCTCGAATACTGGGTCCTAATTTCCGAGCTCGTTACACAGATAAAAGGGTTGTACACATTTCAAAGTGTGTACTTAAATATTTTTTTTTTTAGTCACTTGAAGGTCATTAAACAACTTACAATTTCACAATATCTCAAGGTGCTGGTATGGACAGGATATGTTGGACACATGGAAGGTGAGATATATCCTGAAAGGAGTAAAAGGAGGACACTGGATGGACTGAGCAGAGAATTTAGCTCTTGCCTTACACTGCAAAATCTCGGAAAATGAGTAACCTTTTCTCAAAATAATTGTATTTACTCTTAATTTGAGTAGGTAAGTAATGAGTATGTGGAATGAGTAGTCTCTACTCTTAAATTACGAGTACTAGATATTTGGCATTTGAGTTCATTTTTCTTCTTTTAAATGTAAATTGTCTTATTCCATTTCCAAAATCTCTAATCTGCTCAGTTCAAGAAAAAATGCACTTATTTTAAGAAAAAATAACTTACTTAGATTTCAGTTGTTTCGCAGTGTAGAAATGCATTTTAATGCTATGTTCACACTGGACGCAGCAGGCGCAGCAAAATCGCGTCTGCTGCTTAATTTTTGCTGCTTGTACCAGTTAGTTCTGATGCATGGCTGAAGCAGCTTTGCTGCTCTGGCTGCGCGGTGCAAAAGTGGTCTGACATGCGTTGGGCTGAGCTTCAATCCTTTCTCTGCCTTGCAGCTATATTTGCGGTGATCAGTGGGAATAAAGTAGTTTTGATATGTTTTTAAGTGAGAAACTCCTCCTGAAAACTTAATCAGTGCAGTCAGTTCATCCAGATTACCATTTCTGTCTGAGCCACTCAGAGCCCCACATACCAGCGGTGCACTGTCAGTAGGAATCCTATTCATCAGCAGCCTCTGGCCTGGTCCCCTCCTCGCGGTTCACTGCGGTGGCTGGTAGGTGTTTTTCATCTAAATAATCCAAACTGCAGGCACCAGGATTATAAAAGCGAACATATTCTGCCGGCAGATTTCTGCATTTTAAGTTAATTTAGGCGTCAATAAACTGTTTCAGAGGAGTGATCACAGCGCTCTGTATCATCAGCGTTCTCTCTCCCAGCCAGCTCCCAGATCAGCTCCTCTGATTGGTTGATGCGGCGCGTTGACCAGCAAAAGTTCAATTTTTCAATCTCGAGCAGCAGCGCGTTTGCGGCACGTCACGCGCGTCAGATGCTTAAACGCTCCTGATGCGCTGCTTCAGCTGCTCAGATGCGGTGTGCCTGCTGCTCAAAAACACGCTGTGGGACCTTTCGCTGCGCCTTTACGCGCGCCAACCATTGACTTTGCATGTAAACTCGCTGCTTCTGCTGCGCTTGCTGCGTCCAGTGTGAACGTAGCATAATGGAGGTTCTATTGGTTAACCAAACCTTCTGATCGGAGGAGTATTGTGGAGCTTGGAGTTTCATCTTTTTTCAGCTAACCTTTAATTTTAAGCAGATATGTGGTTAATTGTGTTGATAGTGTTGCTCCAAACCTGTTTGCAACGTCAAATGTGAAGTGACAGACAAATATCCTTCTCGTTAGCAGGGAAAAGAGGTGGCTGCTAACCAAAGGGGATTTTAAATGGGGAAAGTCCAGCTTTAAATGAAGGGTGAGAATTATAATTATATTCCACCCAGGGGAGATGCTGATTCAGTTCACATGGATTGTTCTTCATGAGACAACGGGGGAGGCTTCTAGTTCCTGGTTTAGTCATTCTAAACGATTAAAGGTGGGTAATAACCTTAGGGAGAAAGACCTTTGGTCTGAATCAATGCAGAAACTGCTTTCTAGTCTGAGGGAGGAACTGGGGTCCACGTTCATACTGCAAACACTATCTACCTCTCTATAAATTAGTAAAAAGTCCTTAAAATAAGTGTATTGAACCTTAATTTGAGTAGGTATATAAAATGATCTGCCAATGGAATTAGTCTTTTTACACCTAAAATAAGATAATTAGATATTATTATCTTGGAATAAGATAATGCAGTTGTTTTTTTTTTCTTATTTCAAATGTACTTTGTATTATTCTATTGGCAAAGAGTCTCACTTACTGGCTTAATAAAAAAAAATTTACCTATTTAAAAAAATATATATATTTTTTGTAGTGTAGACACAACTTTCCCTGGCATGCCATTGGTCTGAATACATGCCTGATCAATAGTAGTAGTATGAAGAACTGAAGGAAGTCTGAAAAGATACCAAGTGGCAGGGTTTAGAAAAGTGGTTAGTGATGGTTAGAATTGTGGACATAAATAGTGATGTTGGAAGTCCAGATGTAAACTATACATCATTTTAAAGAGCTCTAAACATGCTGTGTTTCCTTAGTTAAATATCTATATTGTTTTGTATTATCACAGTTATTTTTATAAACTGGACCAAATGAAGATTCATAGCTACTTCAGTGGAAACTAATTGGGATTGTAATTAATAAATAAAAATGTTCTAATGACTGAAAAATAACGTGCAAAATGCTTTGATCAACTAAACTAAATGTTAAAGTGTAATTTACAAAAATGTTCTGATATCAACAAATTAAAGGTGGATTTTGTGTTTTGTTTTTTTACACTTTTTTTCTTTTTTTTTCCAGTGTTCAGTTATGCTTCTATACTGTTATTATGCATACCATTAAATGTAAAAAATGCAGGTAAAGAAAACATCAGCTTTTTTATCTGTCCTTGCATGTTTTTATTTTTTTTATTCAACTTTTAAATATTGTTACACAACAAAAATGCAGGTAAAAAAAAGACAAAACATCAGATTTCTATATCTGTTCTGGTAAAAAAAATAATAGACACAAAAATAAAAAATAAATGTTTTGGCAATTCTCCATCCTAACAAAATCTTTTCTCATGACAACACTGAAGTCATAACTATTTGATTCTATAGAAAATAGTCAGTGTACTGTTTGTAAATTAATATACAATTACATATATGTCCCCCCCAAGATAGCTGAATACAGGGGGATTAATATCTAAACAAAATGTGCCCAATTAACCAGTTTCTCTCCCTAGAGTCATGCAGCTCATCAGCAATTTAGTAGGTCTCAGGTGTGTGCTGATTTATTTTCTGTTGACAGCAAATGTACACTGTTACACAAGCTGCACACAAAGGGTCATATCTTTAGTGTTGTCCCATTAAAAAGGCATAAAATTATACAGTGGTGTACTCAACTTGGAAACTGTATTTAAGCACACCTTTACATCCCACACAATAATGATCTGTTGGATAAAACCCTTAAAATCAGGCAAATCAAACGCTTGCTAAGTATGTTAAAACTAAAATGATCATGCTGATTTCATGGGGTGACTTCCATTTTAAATGAGGATTGAAACTTTTATTTTTAAACCCAGTTTTCTTTTAATAAAGTCTTTTGAGATTAACTGAGAAAATATGTTTTATGTCTTTAATGGTAGATCTCATGGGTGGGTGATATTGGGAGCCCACTGCGGTTGTAAGGAAGTCCGTAAATCGGGCTCATCTCTGCATGCCTCAAGCTCTCCACTTTCCCAAATTGCCGCAGGTGGAAGAGAAGGGTGAGCTTTCGGGTCATGGTACGAAGCGCCAAGAAGGAAGCCAGGATTTGAGCAAGTAGAAAAAAGAGGTAGATAGAGTGGACAGCTCTCTCCAGAGGCAGAATGATAACGCCTTCATCAGTGATGAAGAACAGCAGTATTGGTGTTTGGAACGTCAAAGACAGGAGCCAGAAGGCTGCCAGTGCTGGGACCTGATGACAGGGAGAAAAGGGACTGAGCCTGGTGCATGGGCATTATTTAAAGATGTTGTTCTTATGTTACTTTCACTGTTACAAGCACACTAAGAACAGCACTATTTCAAAAACTGTGTACAATTTATTTATATAGCACTTCATTAAATCCAACATGTATTAACATCACTTAAACATCCCTAAAGTTTGTGATAGACCAACACAAAATATTGAGAAATTAAAGGGAAAACAATACATGTTGTATAAATGTGTTTACATATTAAACTGAATATAATTTTTTTTTTTTGGACTCTTTTGCCTTTTATTTTCAATTTAGTCACAGTTTAACTACAGCAGTTCGGCTTTGGCTTTACAGACTTTTTTTTACCAAGCATTACTGATTCATGGTAAGTTTAAGACTATTATGAGGGTTAAGATAAATAAAAAACAGGCATGGAGACAAGAAGCGAACAAAATAAACTAGTGAAAAATGACAAAACTAAGGGCTTAAGTAAAGTTAGATGTCTCCATTGAGTGGAACTAAATCTGTTTCCCAAAGATGAAAGGACGTTTCTGTCTAAGTGTCATAGTGGGGGCATACAATTGAAAAAAATCTAGTTTTTATTGCAAAGGTGTTTCTAACTATATTGAATCAGAAATGATGAATTTCTATAAACATTTTAATGGCAAATGTTTTGTTTTCTATTACTTTATGTTGGTCTGTCATCAAATTTTGATACAATGAAGTTTAAGATTAAAGCTTAATAACAAAGTGAAAATTTCTTTGAGGTATTAATACAGATGCATGTCAAGGCATACGGTATAATCAGAGCTTTTTGTTGTGGTTTAGAGAGGATCTGGCTCTAAAATACCTTTTCTTTAAGGTTGCCAATGTATCCCAGGTAGAGCCTGATGACTTCAATCACTGTAACAAGAACCAACCCGGTTATGAGCAGCCCCTGGTAATATCCAGGGAGGTAGCTGAACTGTAAACGGAAAAGAAAGATGATGAGAATATTTCATGATAAAAGAACAGATTATATTAGAAATCTCAGAACCCTTTGATTGGTCCCTTTTTAATGTTTAAAATGGATTAAAATTAACTGTTTTAATTTGATGAAGATTTACTACTTTATTGAACTTCAAGGCAAGAAATATACATAGGTAGCTAAGTTTAAGCTCTATTGTTTCCATAATATACTCGTCTTCTAGTTGTGTCAAAACAAGGGTTGATGACATGCATTTTTGTTGGTAAATTTTATCAGAATTTTAGAAACTATTTTAAACATTTAAACAAACATAAATTATGATATAGACATTCAGAAAATTTGATAGGATAATTTCAAAAGGTTATGTAAGTTTTGCAACTAAAATAAATGTTTATTTAGTTGAAGTGAGGGAAAGTGCACTCATATGAAAATTGTTGAGGGAAACCACTAGATGGAGCCAAATTTAAAGCTTTTTTTTCTACTTTAAGAATGCTTTTGGGGCTTTTTTCTACATTTAAGGTTTATGAATGTACCTTTTTTTCATCTGTTTTATATTAATATATTTTTTTACTTATTTGAAAGGTTTAATTAAGTTTATGTGACTTCAGGTTAAAGGTTTTCTTTATTTTTAATGGTGTCACCTGATAGATCTACAACTAAGAGTTTAGTGTCTGCAAAGCAACCAAAGCTAATTATGAGGGGGGATAAAAAAAAAAAAAAAAAAAAAAAAAAATCAAATTGATAAAAGAAAAAATCTAAATTTATCTTCCACTGATTTTACTTTGTAACTCTATCTAAAATATTCTCAGAGTATTGCATAGATTTCTCAATGACTTACTTTCACTTCCAACATGAAAACAGCAGAAAACCACCAACATGGAAAGTAAAACAAATTGAAGTACAAGAGCATTTGAAGAGGAAGATGAGAAACCAGTTCGTTGACCACTGAAAGACAATTATAAGGAAATTTCAAAGGTTTGTGATATATAAAAAAAAAAAAAAAAAATCAACTAAATAAGAGTAGTACTACTGTATATTATAGGTAATACTTTTTTAAATCATAACTCATATCTGGTGATAAGGATTGCAACATAACTCTCACAAAACAAAAGGTTGAAACACAACTATGGAAAGCTCACATTTTTCCATATGCCTAGATGGATTTAGCTTCTCATCAAGCACATAATATACAGTTACTGTATATATGTTCTCTCTATAGATAGATAGATAGATAGATAGATAGATAGATAAGCAGTGCATTGTTCTGCAGAACAAGCCTTTTTGAGATATTTCTTTGTGAGTTCAAATAAATAATTTAGCTAATATATACAATTTTCTCATATATTTGGCACTCCAACATACTTTAATAAACTGGTCATCTTTCATTCTTTACTTCTTAACTCTTGAACAAAATCACATTTCTGATACAGATTTAAATGTTGTAAGCTATTGTGTAAACTCTTAACTCAAATTCTGAACAAACCAGATGCATCCTCCTGCTCCCTTGTGAAGTCACTGTCTGCTGTCCTGTTGTTTGTGAACACGGAGCCTCCCACGCAGGCAAGGCCCATCTGCAGGTTGTCTGGTACAGAAGAGTAAAACACAGGCATGGTGGCTAAAGCTGATGGTCATGACACAGCTAAGGGCTCGCAATGTGCAACAATCCAAACACTTCAACTGTGGGTCTTGTGTCCTTTTCTGCTGTTAGTTCCTGCTGTCCTCCATAACATAAATGCAGTTGCAGATCCCCAGAGATTTTAATGGCTACAAGAGAGACAGATGCATATGTTGCTGCTAATCAGATTATGGTGAGGAAGGCGGGCTCAGGATTAGTCTGCAGCAGTGGCATTATACCTTGTCTGTTAGTGTGTATTTTGATTAGTAAATCTGTTTATATGCTTAGGAAATAAATTGGTGTTTGAGCTCGATAGGTCACATAGGAACACCATTTATTATACCATGGTGTTCTGTTTCTGGTGTCTTATAAACACAATATAAAGATAGACTTTAAATATTTGTTTTTTTAATAAATTTTATTAAAAGGTGTGAATAGACAGTGTGCCACAAATATGCCCAATACTCTCTGCGCTGCACCCAACCAGCAAGTCCTCAAAATGGGGCCTGACTCAACAGTTCAGCCTTTTAACCCCACTTGTCATTAATGCTACTGGGTTGCAGTCGCAAAGTTTGGCCACAAGGGGTCATCACAGCTCGTCCCTTGGGGCGTGCAGGGGGAAGTTCTTAAACTCCTCTGGCACTTCTTCCCCTTTTTGGGACCTCTTATAGAACCCCAGAGACTCCAACAAGCTGCTGATCTCGTCCGCCTTCATCTTCTTCACAGGGACAGTCTGAAACACATGGAAGATAAAGAAACATGGATTCCAGCATCACTACATGAACAGCTGATGGTTTACAGTTACATTTCATTGTCTGTTAAATCCAGGAATTGATGTCTGTTTTTTTGTGCTCTTTGTATAACTAATTAAAACTTACACCTAACTGATTATAGCAATTGAACAGGTAACAGATTTTCACATGAAAACAGTAATAAATGAATAAATATTTATTAATAAATTAAAACTTACATTGTTAGATCGCATAATATGATATAATCTAAGATTATATTAGAATTCATCAGATTAGATTGAAATTAAGTTTACCTAAAATTGTAATATACTACATGAAACTAATAAAATAATATTTCTTATCAACAACAGAGGTTTCAAGTAATAAAGTACAAATACTTCGTTACTGTACTTAAGTACACTTTTTAGGTATCTGTACTTTACTCCATTACTTTTTTTTTTTGTCCTACTTCTGACTTCTACTCTATTACATTTTCACATAAGTATCTGTACTTTCTATTCCTTACATTTTAAATATCAACATTACTCATTACTCTTGGCTTCGTTTAATGTTCATAAATATTTATTTCACGTCATGTGCGCCATCCAATGCAGATCTAGTGACACATCTAGTGAAAACTAGTGCAATTGGATGAGTCATATAACGCAAATGCCCTGCGATGGACTGGCGACCTGTCCAGGTTGTACCCCGCCTCTTGCCCATTGACTGCTGGAGACAGGCACCTGCACCCCTCGTGACCCCAATTGGGACAAGCGTGTAAGATAATGGATGGATGGATATAACACAAACACTCATTGGTTAGCTAAAGGTAATCATCAGAATCAAGCAGGTGTTCTTCAAACTGCAAATGTGAATTGTCTACGCCATGCTACGATGTCGGATTCAGAAAAAGATGTCAAATGTCTGAAAGGTCAGAAACAGGCCTCCGTCATCCTTGGCCCTATCTCAAATAATTTTTTTAAATAGTCGAAAAATTTAGTTTTCAATTCATATAGTGGCATCTGCCTGTTTTGTTTTTTTCAAAGGTTACTTTATACTTTTATACTTTGAGTAGTTTTTGGACCACATACTTTTTCACTTTTATTTGAGTAAAGAGGTCAAGTTGATACTTTTATCAGTGTTTTTAAACTGCAGTATCTATACTTCTACTTAAGGAACAAATGTCTCTACTTTTGACACCACTGATCAACAAATACTATGTTTTAGATTAGGTAATCATCTGCCTAACAGTTTTCCGCATACAGATTTCAACAACCTAGACATGGAAGGTTATCAATAAACAAACTGGCTCTATGCAAAGTGCAATACTCGAGCATATTAATGGAAAGTTGGGTAGAGGGTAAACATGTGGTTGAAAGATGTCCACACTCAACAGGGATAGCAGCAGCCATGTGAGGATTATAGAGCAAAATGGTTGAAGGGTTTAAGGGAGCTTCAGAAGAAGTAGACTGTAGCTGGAGTCAGTCGTTCATCCTCCACCACACACAGACTTCATTTGGAAATCAAGGAAGAGAGAAGAGGCAAATAATCCTTGTTGCAAGAGGTCCAGTACAGCGTTTACAGCAAGAGAACCACTGGTATTGCTAGACTGTCTTTTATTAAGCCTTAAGCTTAGACTTGGGAGCAATAAATACTTTTCCCAGCTCACATGTTTAAAGGAGATTTTTTATTTATTTTCCAGCATGACTTGGCATCCATTAATACTCGCAGCAATACCAACAACTGGTTAAATTACCATAAAATCACTGTGCTAGATTGGCCTGACCTAAACCCCATAAAGAATTTATAGAGCAATGTTGAAGAGAAGATGATAGACCCCATAGCTAACAGGAAACTTATTCAGTGTAAAATTATGCAGAAAAGGCTCTAATTTGAGTTCAGAAGGAGGAAAAAACTATATGCAATTCTTTTAAAAAAATGTCCCAAACAAAGATAGCCTGTTAAGTTTTCTTCATGTTTTATTTTGTTCTCTGTAATCTGTTTAAACATATTCATGTATTATTCATAATATGTAATGAATACATAAAATCAAAGCACGTGGTAGTTCTTATTTTGGCCTTTTCGTGTCACATAAGATTTGCCAGCCTTAAATTTGCTGATATCTTCTTGTGTTTACATTCATGAACCTCCTACTGTAGATAAAGCTCTAAAACATTTTACCTTTACCACCTCGTCGTTTTCATTGTAAAATATAAGACGGGGATTCTTCTCCTCTGATGAGTCATACTCTAAGTTATGGCTATATGGAAAGGCAGATCAGGGAAAACAACAGATAGACTTAAAATAATAACATCCATGCATTCTACGTGGCATAAACTTCTAGAAAGCTCACAAAAGCTGGGGCGAGGAGTTCGCAAACAGATTGAAGCTGTATCTCAGCAAGAAAAGGATACTATAAAGCCCATCGCTCCATGAGAAACTTATAGAGCTCAGGCATTTTCTTTATGGATCATCCAACCACACTGGGAGCCTGCAGAAAGGACAACAGACAATTGTTAAAACTGCTGCCTGTGGATGTTTGTGTGGTTCATTGTGCAATCACTGAGTTTCATTTCATATCTTAGGAGAAAGCAAATTGTCAAGCCAACCAACAACAACCTTTCTTGTTGTGTACTTTTCGGACCTGCTCATCGTAGTTACATATTCTGAATATCTGATTCATTTAACAAAAGGTTTCACAATAAAACGTGTTGACATAAAAAGAAATCCAGCTGAGGGTTTAAACTTCTCCACATGTATAGCATTTTACAGTCCAACTCACCATCAGTTTACCTCGAGCTATGACAAGCCTTTCTTCAGCTGCTGTGTTGTTGCTGCTCTCTGATGCTCCAGTAATGATAGCTAAAGTGAGCACCAACCAGGCCAACATCTTAAAGACTGTTTTGTGTCTTTGAGTCCCTCTGCTTATGCTACAACCAGCAAATTGTCACCTAGTAATTCTGCTGGTCAGGTCTAGAGGATGGATAAGTCCACCAGAATTTCATGTGGGGGAGTTCAGCCTCCCTGAGCTGAATTGTTGTATTTCTTCCAGTGTTTCTCTTATAATCTTTTTAATAGGCTGAGAACAAAATCACATATGTTGCCACCTGGTTGCATAAATATAGGTCAGTTGCCAAAATCTCAGTTGTAAGTCTGTTTTTGATTTATGAAGGCCCCCTGGTTATAAAGTTATAGTCTCCTTTACATCAGCAGGATTGCAGAACATGTGTACTGTTATCACATTTTCCCAAGCAGTACAGCTTTGAGAGGATGAGGCCCCTGAGAGCCAACCAGATGCTCTCATCCACCGACAACCAAAGTTCAGTCTTTTGTAATTCAGCTGATTCTCAATGATAATGAAAAATCTATTTGTCAATTTAAACGTGAAACATGCTCAACTTGTAATACCATCTTGTTTATAGTTTGTGAGCAATTTTTAGAAATGTATTTTTTTCTCTAACTCAAAGGTTTATCACCATCTTTGAGCCAGCCCTAGTTATGCTTAATAACTATGAATTGACTGAAAAAATGTTGAAATCAACTTCCTAGTCTGTTTCTCATTTATCTTATTTTTTGTATTTTACAGTGAAGCTTTTACACCACATTGTCTGAATAATAATTAACTTGCACCCTGGAGGCCCTCTGAGCTCTCCTTATGATAAAATAGTCAAAAGGGGTTTTGTTTTCCTTCCAAGGGACCACCTAATATTTTTAGAATTAAAGTAGAACCTTGCTTAATGTTTTTTTTACAGATATATCTATATATCACTCATTTTTTCTTTCATCTCATGCATAGGATAAAAAAAACTTTCCAAAAAAGTAAAAAAAAAAAAATAAAAAAAAAACACTGGACTTTGTTTCCAAGTTTGAAGACATTTCATATCCCATCCAGGCTTTTTCAATTCAAATGTCAGAAATAGTGTTGAGTTGCTTTATACAGTAGCACAACAAAGCCTTGTTTTTGCTTAGACAACATGCAAATTGAAACGTCCGTTTCATATCACGAATAAAGTCGTGATATTACAACAATAAAGTTGTATTAAAGTTGTATTTTATGACAACTCTTACAAGAAGCACTTTCTGCCCTAAAATGATGTGCATCATGTGAAGTTATACTTTGGCAATAACAAATAAGGGAATCTTTTAGCAACCAGCATCAAATTGGGCATTGTGTCAAAGTGGACTCAGGTTGCTGTTTGGTGGTGCTATTCAGCTGTCATATGCTGGTCGAAGCTTGAAGCTTTCTTTCTGAAACTGGTTGCGGTATAATGACTTCATTCATGTTATTTTTCAACTTAATTATCATAATAGTACAACTTTATTCTCCTAATGTTATGACTTTATTCTCGTAATGTTAAAATTTCATCCTTTTAAAAAAATATCTAATCTGGCCCTAATACTCCTCCGTAAAGTGTGACATACAATATCAATTTATATTTTTGCCTAAGTTTAAATTAGTTAAAATCTCATTGTTCAGCTGCTAGTGTTTATATCATCTGTTTGTTGCTTAAATATTTAGCTCTGAATATGGAATGGCTGCAGCCTGAGAAGATGAGTTCAGCTTGGAATCTTTTGTGTTGGTTTAGCTTTCTTCTCTTTTCTACAGAGAGGGCTGAAACAGATGTATGAATCACAGCAGCACAGAAATAGGCCCGGAGCGATGAAACAATAGATAGAGGTGTCGGCAACGGCAAAGAGGATCCAAATGCAAACTGTCCAAAGATGCATAGTGGGGCTGAAATACTACTGGGAATTCTTTGCTAGGTATGGGCAGGAGGTTCCACAATTAAACTGAGTGACACCACCAAGACAGGTTGAGAATAATAAGTCTGATATCCAGAGGGACTTCAGACAGAAAGACAGGTCATGGCTAAGCAAGGATACATTGTGATCTTAGACAAAGTAATGAGCTACAGTACAATAGGATATTGTATAAGATATTTTGGATATTCAATGCCAAAGTGGTGGCAGTGGTAGTAAGTGCACTCATCGCTGTGACTCAGAAAGCCTCGAAACACAAGATTCCAGAAGCAATTTATGTTGATAAGAGTACAGACCCATAAGTAGCTAAAATAATACCTGGAAACCTCAATCTACCAGGCCTCTCTTAGAGGGTATAGGCTTCAAGTGGAAACACCAGGTGAATACTGCTGTATAGGAAAAGTTTGTAATGTTTTGTGCTTTATGTTACCTATTAATGTTCACCTTTCTGTCATATGTTCCTCTAAAATTCTGATTTTAACAAGCTGCTATTATTATCTGGTACAAATCCTGCTGTATGATGCTGACCTGGGATTTAATTTTAGTAAAAAAATTACAATCCCCTCACCTTCTGGCCTCATCTCCACTTCAAATCTTTGACTCCATTGTTTTCTCTATAGGAGTCATGCCTTGTGACTCTGCAGCTTTTTTGCAGACTATAAAATCCCTTGTTGGAAGAGAAACGTCTCTCTCCACCAAGTTGAATCAGTCATTCCATGTTGAGAGGAGCAAATTCATTAGGTCACCACAAGAGGGTGGTAACAGCTGCTTGTAAGTTTACTGGCAGTCTGGCGGGTAAAATGTTCTTCCAATTTCTAGCCACAGACAGTTATGTTTCCAACAAAAATAAACATTCGTGCCTGGAATCCTGAAGCAAAACCATCTTGTTATCTCCAACTTTTCCAGACACAAAGCCGCACAGTTAAGAGTTTTGCACCCAACATTCAACTCTTTGGTATTATGTGTCCAAAGGCCATAAAACTGTCCCCCTGTTTAACAAGGTTTCCTCCCTTTGGCATGTGTCATAACTCTATAGGCTGTATTGTTCCGGTTTTATGCCCCCATCATTGTGATCAAATCATCTAATACTTTTCTCACAATGGAAGCTGAACCTTGAAGAATTTAAGAAGTTAATAAAAAGCATAAGAGCAGTTCAGCAAATAAAGGGGGGAGAACATACAGTGAGCTGTGGGGGTTGGGTGTTTCTGCTGAGTTCAGGTCTACACATGTGGATGTGTCCCATATGTGTTCACAATTAGCATGTTTTAGCTTACATCACATGTCGGCTGCCAAGAGGGGTTTGTTGTTATTAATGTGCTGACAAAGGAAAACTGTAGCCATTTATAACCAGGCAGTTATGGGGCTGAGACACAGATGATGAAAACGTTTATGAAGTTAAGACTGAGCAACTTTTTCCAGCAGCAGTTTTGGGTAAATTGCAACACTTGCAGCTGGAAAAAAGATCAAACACCTAAGCAGATCCTGCTTGCTTTTTAGAGCTTGTTATAAAGAGACACCCACTTCCTGCTTCTCAAAGGCACCGGATCCTGTCTACCAAAGCCAGCAGGGCATTGGTTTATGTGGTCAGTTTCCTATAATGTGGAAATGTGGGAGAAGAATTTAATCTCTTCTGTGTACAACTATTGGTTTTTATAAATATGTTCAAAATATTTGGAGAACATCGATTGATATTCACTAGAGGTATTTGCTGAATATGTCTGTGTGTATTTGTCTGTCTGTACCCTCAAGGCGTGTTTTATGTCTGCCTGCTGTTCTTCAGTCAGCACATCCTAAAGGAGTTACTTTAAATTTAAATCCAGTCACCTGAACTACCACTGTGATGACAAAGCCATGGACCTTTCTACCTTGAATTACAAAGACTTGAGGAAGTTTAACAAAACAGACAGAATTAACTTCATTACAGATCTCCAATTATCTAACTTCCAAATCATTTCGAGTTCTTGCATGGAAAAAGGTCACCAAGGTTGATTTAACTTCCAGTTAGCATGGACTTATAACATAATGGCTCTAGTTTTCTCAGAGCACGCAGTTGCAGTCTAGTCTTGCCAGCTTTGGGAAAATACATGTCATGTGTAGGCTGGTTTGATCTAGCTAACAAATTCACTTTTGTACTCTCTTCTGTTTAAAATAAACACATTTTCTCAGCTGTACTTTATAGTTTTTAAGATGTTAAAAGATCAATATTTAGATACATTAGATTGGTATTCAGGTAGGATATTTTGTGCTTTCCAATGTAAACTTTACTTGTAAATTCAATACAAGAACAATGATTCGTCCTTGTGTTGCATTCTGTTTACATAGACTCAATATGTAATATTTATCAAGCATTTTGGACTTTTAATAATGCACATGACATCTTTATTTTTTCTTACTGTAGTCACTGTAATACTTAGATGCTCAAATAATTGTCAAGACAGGAAAAAGTATCTGTATCTGGATTTTCTCTCAGCCACAACATCTCCAATATCTACAGTGCTGCATATATATACTGTTGTTCTTGTAAATTATATTTGAAACTTAAATGTTTCACATATGTGTTATATCTCCACCAAAACAATTATTATTATTTAGAAACTGCTGTTGTATTTTTGGCAGAAAGTTTGACGCCTCTTCTTGACATAAAAAGTAAATTATACATGCTGTATTGTTTATGCCATACTTTCAAAAATTATTCACAGAAATCCAACAGCATTAAGGTCAGGGAATTCTCTAAGAGCTTAATGTATGTTAGCTCCTTCCACTATTGATGTGTGCTTAGGATCCTTGTGTTGGAACAACCAGTTGTGTTAAATCCATGAAGTGTTTGTAAAAATGTCTGTTTCCTCCTTAGAGTGGGGATTCTATTAATTAGTGCTAGGGGGAAAACCCTGTGCCACGTTCTTGTGAAATGTACTTTTAGAGTCAAAAAAATAGCATTAGAAAGATCCTCTTGTTATGAACAGTATCCATCTGCTTAAATATATTTAAAAAAAAAAACAACAGAAACAAAGCAACTCAGGTTAAATATTAGAAAATACCTGAAAAAAAAGATTTTTTGAGAATGATTTCTTTTCCACAACTGTAACTAAGTCTTATGAGTAACAGAGGATGCAAGCAAGTTGCTGGAACTTTTGTTGGCTTCTGGCTGTGACGCTTTGGGTCCTTTGATGAAAGTCATTCTGCTGTTCTTGAGCAAATCGTTGT